TTTCGTCAAAGTCACGCGCACAGCTGGCGCGGAGCCAGAGAGGAGAAGGAGCGGCGCAGCAGCTCCTTGGTAGTAAAGTTGTATTGTTAAATGAGATGACACCATCAGAGAAGGCCAACGCTGGACAGAGATTGGATTGCGAACTAGTGCTTTGTCAGCGCTCGGCTTTGAGTCAAGTTTGAGCCGAACGTTGACGCAATCGTAGTGTCCAATCTGTGCCCAGCGTTGGTCTTCTCTGATGGCGCCATATCATTTAGCACTACAGCTTTCTTATCTAGGAGGTGTTGCGCCGCGGCGCGGTGTAGTGGGGGCGGGTTCAGTTGCCGCTCTGCGGTCGCTGGTTTTTCTTCGCTCTGGGCTTCTATAGTAGCAGTGTGGGGGCTGTGATGTGTGTGTATGCAGTAAAAATGACGGACGTGGTTCCCTCCACGAGTGATATGGATACTGTTCATTCCACGAGTGGTATGGGCGTGGTTTTTTTCATGAGTGATATGGATGACCGCATCCAAGGGCGTCAACGTACACTCTGACAGCAGAGTACAAAAAGGGATGAAAAAAATTGCAAGGAGATCCATTGGTGGATTCTTAAGGAATCCGTTACCTTGACCCTTGCTAAGCGGTAGACACGTTCCCCTTTGGGAGACACTAACACGGACCCCGTGACGAGACCCAAAAGAGGTAGCCAAAAATAGAGTAAGCAAAAGAAAAAGCCAAACGAAAAAATTGAACTTAGGATATCGAAAGAGGGGCATTGAAGACAATCAGAAAACACAGGCTTTCGAAAGCCTGTGTTGTCTGTTTGTCTTCGTGGCCTTCTTTCGTTATTGTAAATTAGAAACCAACACGCTCAACTATCTGCATAAAAGTGAAGGGGTCCGTGTTAGCGTTTACCAAAGGGGGGGGGGGGGGCGTTTCCAAGGGTCATGCGAACGCATTTCCCAATGATCCACCAATGTATCTTCCTCTATTTTTATTTGGTTTTTTATTAGACTGCGTTTATACGCCAGCCGTCCTACTTCCCGTAGCCGAAGCGCGGAACCAACGCCACGCCTCCATGGTAGGAGCGAAGAAAGTGTGAGGCTCGACAGCGAAATGAAACGTTGTACTGTTAGAATGATATTCCAAGAATGACCATTGATTCTTGGGTTTACCTCCCTCGTACAAATCATCATCATCATAAGTTTATTTTATGTGCTCATGAAGAATGACTCTGTCTTGATTATGATGCACATAAATAAATTTTACATTTGAGATGTCGATCTCCGCGTGATGATAGCTTTCTACGGTATTCAATTTGGTTCATATAAAATACCTAAGATGGTGTAATTAAGACTATCTTAGCTTGAATACGTGGCGACGCACGTTAGTTTTGCTTTCGCTGCTGGGAGCAGGCCCACTGTTACAAATATGTGCTACAATAAAAATATCGGAACCTACAAACACCTCGCAAATTAGTGTTTTTAGGAATGCCACAAACTATTGCACGTAAAATGTGTCTTTATAACCTGAGTCGATTTTCTGATTTTTAAAGATTACCCACATATTTTCTAACAGAAACTATACCTTGAATATTCATAAGTAAAGAGTAAACAATCAGGTATATTTAACATAACGAGTATCGCGAATGAATATTCCTGAATAGACTCTATGACAGCGACGATAAACGACATTAAGTTTTTCTTTTGCGCGGCGCGTTGTTATCGCAGGAATGATTTGATTTCCGTTTCGTGAAACACCCTGTATATGCTTATACATGTCCAATGATACTTGTATCTCAGTGGTGGAAGGCGTTCACCATGTCTCGATTTCATCGCGCAAAATGTCTTTCAAATACTAGTAGACCAGAAAAGTGGTCACAAAAATTGTGAGAAAGAATTCCCATGTTTCTCTTTTTGTTTCCTGGGATACTTTTTGTTGTTGGAAAAGTATATTGAAAATACACCGGTACCTGAATATGTGCATCTCACTACCCGATATTTCAGTTTTCTAGAACATGTGTTTCAGTACGTGTACTCCTGAAAGCATTTTTATATACCTGCTCGCTTTAGTAATCTCAGACTTTAGCAAGATACAAAAGTAACATGATCGTAAGCATTCTCATCTTGGTTTCAATGTAGATTTGTATCGTGCAGTGTTTTACAAAATTAACTGGTTTTCTCAGATATGTTTTGTTTAAATATAATGACGAGAACGAGATTTCCATGAAAAGTAAAACCGATTGATTTTCTGGAAGGTAGTCTCAGAAATACGACAAAAAAACAGCCAATATTTGTATTCCCCGAATTTTAAGCTAATGAGAAACCAACACAAACATTTAAAGCAAAATAAATAACTTTCAAAAATAGCCAAAAAAAGCTCGAAATTTTCGATTTTCACCAGATTTGGAGCAATAGAACACTACTTTTATAAACCTGGCCACCACGAATATACCTTAAGATCGCTTACGTTTGAAGCTACACACTGATTATTGTTTCATTATATCGTTCTCACCGGGTCAGTTTTTTTTAATGAAGTTTTGAATTTAAGGAAAAATTGCGTGGAGCAGCAAGTTTGCAAATCTGTAAAAAATAACCATAAAAACAAAACAAAAAATATTTTTTTTTTAAGTTAGCAGTTTTTTTTTAAATTTAAAAAAAAATTATTATTAGTTTTATATCATTAAACAGTTTGTAAACAGCGCCCTAAAACTGGAAAAAATCAAATCGAGTTTTTGGTATATTCCATTAGGTGTCAATTTAGAAATATTCTTTTTAATAAAATGTTTAGTTCTAATTTTTTGTCATCCTAAGGTTACAACTGCAACATATATTCATTCAAAAAATCTTAATATTCCTTTGACAACTTTGTTTGAATTTAAATCAACTCACCCTTCTAGTGTGTTAATTTCAAATTTATTTATCGTTAAAAAACTTTCGTTTATGATATGCAAAAACATATTCCCGTAGAAATCAAATTGCAACGTTCCTTTTTGTACAATGGAGGTTGAAGAAAATGTTAGAATTTATTTGTTTAATTAACACTGCAATTAATTTTGTACTTTTTACAAGGCACAGTTGTTTTATTTACATTGCGCTATAATTTAGCGCGAAGGCATAATCTAAAGTGGTTAGGTAAAAAAAAAAGAGTAATTAAATTAAACAAAGTAAAGTACCGAAACCTTCCTACCTTGGGCAATATAAAGTAGTCAACAAAGCGTTTGAAGCAGGGAAATATTGCGTTTGATCCTCCCCTCGAATCGCAGAATCAAATTCAAAATAACCATTGAATTCAGCCTCTTTGAATCATGCATATACATGGTGAAATATGCAGGGAGTCGAGTTGCAACTGTACCCCGTTTTCCAGAGCGACCGCTTTGTGCGATAATGTTCTCAAGCATCCTTTCTAGTAACGTCTCACAATATAGTTACATGGCCACCTAACAATAACTTTAGGAAAGACGCTGCATCACATTAACGCAACGTTTTAGTGGTTACCATCCACAACTCTCGCAGTATACCCTGCGCCTAGTTCTAAGAACATAATCACGAATATTTATAACTCACAGTGAACAACATATTTTATAATTTGAAGTTATCTAATGAGAAAAATGAATGCGCGGACCATGCATGTATTTTCGCTTAAAACTGAAAATTACAATATAATACAATGCAGATCTGCGTCCTGTTAAGAAACAAAGAGCACCTCACTTTCTTTAGTTCAAAGGGCATTTGTACCATCCTAGTCGCTTATCATTTTTATACATGGCATTTGTTGGCTTTTGCCAGTACGTTATGGAGGAAAGGTACGCCAGCCTGCTTTTTCATGAGAGGGTTTCAAATGCTCGCCGGAAAAGACTGCACCTTCAAATGAGCAAAACAACACTGCAACTCACTGTTCATATGCAGTGATGCCTCATTATTGTCGACTCCTCCGTTCCTAAAAAAATCTTCCATAATGTAAGTGGTTTATAATAACCAGGCAAAATTCGTGTATTTACCAAGCTCCTCCGCAAAAGTTATATATAGCGGGGTATTTATATTAATAGGGTCACTAACAACCTAATTTGAACGTAAAGTGTTATCGCTTGTTCCGAAAATGTATTTTCAGAAGAGCTATAAACTAGAGCCACCACCATTTGTAGCACGCGCTAAAAACTATGGACGCTCAGTCTTGAACCACAACAGTTTTGCGGTAGGTTAGCTGCTTCTGGGAATTGCTGCGGAAACGCTTGCCAGTATTGTTTGTTAACTGTTGCTGCAGATACGCTCAGTCTTGTACGATTCTTACTAGACTTCATTTTTCCAGATCTTTCCTGTGTGTGCTCATGGTGGTGATTGCAGCAAGCACGGTAATTGATATATACATATCCCTCAAAAAGGGCAAGTTTTACAAAAGGAGTAAGTCTCGACATACCTCCTTGCTTTCTTTGAAATTCATCTCATAAGAATGAATCTAAGAGTTTATATCTTCTTACCCTCTCGCATTTGCAGATACATTTTTTTCCTCTCCGGGCTAGACGTCTAATCAAAACATTTATTTTAAAATGAGTATATCTACACAATTAAAATATAAAAAACATCTTTAAAGATCCATTGATATATCTGGTGGCCAAACTACCTAAACGAAGTATAAACTCATGCATAAATCTGCATTAAGAAATCTGGCTACAATATTCAAGCCGAAGCGAACAAGCGCATTTCTGGACGTTATTGCGACAATTTGTACACCAGACAAATGTTCTCCCTGTATCATTTATACGCGCTACCCTCTCCTGCCCCAGTCTATGCATAGGCACTATTCTTTTTTTTAAGTTAGAAATTTTTATACGTATGGCATCTACTTTGGTCTTCAGAATGATATTTATTTGATTTTTATGATATTTAATGATTTTCTGAAACTCATAAAAATCATATGATCAAAACGATTTCTATCAAATATTTGAATGATTTCTATAGTAACTGTTTTATTCTGACTTCATTTTATCAGGTAGTAACTGTTTTATTCTGACTTCATTTTATCAGGTACCCTTTTGAAGATCGCCACAGCTTTTTCTCTGCCCGGCAATACCAGCATCATATTTCATGTAGCAACCGACAAACGGTCAGACACCTACGCCTACCGATTCATTCACGGGATGCGTTTCTTCAGCATTGTTTGGATTGTACTTGGACACTCCTACGGAAGCATCACTGATGTCTATTGTGAGGGAAATTATTCATTTTTAATAATTAATTGAGCAAAAAAAGTATTGTGCAATGTCTCCATTTTTTAGTTTAGAGGAGGTTACGTCTTTTTGTTACATCTTTTGTATATAGCTTTAAACACTTTTTACCACACAAGTGTTTTGCAAAGTCAAGAAGTCAAACAAAAATTGCAAACCCTCTTTTTCAAATTCGCATCATTTTGAATTAAACAAAAAATTGTTTGCGGGGTGGATAAAGTGCTATCCCAACGGATCGTTAGAGCTACGACTTATGGCTGCGTATTGAACAGGATAGCCCCTCCGTTATGTATTGTTATAGTTTTCCTAAGACTGGGGGCAGCAAGTCTTTATCCGCAGCTTGCCGTTACAATGTCTCACTCCAGTACTAAAACTCCTAGAGCAGATTCAGTTCTCAATGGCAAAGCAACATAGCCCTTTAGCAGGCTCCCCGCTTCTTGAATGGTAGATTCTGCAAGATTTATTGAGAAATATGAACCAACATTTTCTATGAGTGATTTTTTTTATTATTTTATCAATTACAAAATATATTTGCAGTTTCTAGTTATATGGAGCATCAATTATATAGGGTTATATTACCGGAAGATTGGGTTGATAAACCTCGCAAATACGTTAAGAACATACTTTTACGCACATTTTACTGTTTATCGCATACAAAAAATCCCCGCGAAACCTCCCTTGGCTAGCAATAGGCCGAAGCTTCGAAAGCATTCCCGCAGCGGTACCTATGGGGTCGGCTATAAAGCGATTACGAATGCTGAAATGTAACGCATTACATCTAGAACGCTATGGCGGCCGGGAATGGGACAATATAGGACTGTAGGCGAGCTCTTGTGCACAACATGTCTCATATATTTCTATGTAGTGCTCGGTGAAGCCCCGCCATGGGGCGCATGTCAAACGAGTGGATGAAATTAGTTCAGTGTAAGCTGAAATGAAGAACTGTGCCAGAAATATCTGTGCGCCGCGAATATTTTCGTTCGAAAAATATCTCCTAAAAAAGTGAAAGCCGTTTACAACTCCCTGTAACGCCGAATTGGAGCACAGCTCTTGAGGAGGAGGAGGGAAGGGTACTGAGGGGAGGGTAGACCCCCCTCCTCCTCCTCCTGCTACTTCTACTCCTTCCTTCCCCTCCTCCTCCCTTCATTCTTGAATATGCTCCGGGGGGGTCACCTGACCTCGGGGGGGGGGGGGGGGTGTCACGTGACTTCGGGGGAGGGCGGGGGGGTCACGTGACCTCCGGGGGGTAACGTGACTTGGGGAGTCACGTGACCTCTGGGGATCACGTGACTTTGGGGGTCACGTGACCTCTGGGGATCACGTGACCTCAGGGGGTCACGTGACTTTGGGGGGTTACGTGACCTTGGGAGTCACGTGACCTTGTGGGTCACGCGACCTTGGGGGGTCACGTAACCTCGCGGTTACGCCGACGGTGACGGCGACGCCGCTCAAGCCGGAAACGGGCGCCTAAGAGCTGCGCTCTAAAATAGATAAATTATTAAACTAAGGTGACGCCTATTTTATGTGTATTTTAGATTTGACGTTCTTGCTTAACAAGGAATGCGTCTGAGATCGCACAAGAAAGTCCGGAGTTTATTTCGAAGTTGCAATACAAAGCAAACAATGTTTGGTTTACCATTATTTGGGCACAGACGAAACATTCAACAATAACTCCGAGGACAGCACAATCAATGCTTGCCATATACATGGTTCTGCTTTTTTTTTCAGCCAGGATGGTGAACAATCTTTCTTATTTTGAGAAATTTCCAACTCTGATTGTGACTGCAGGCTACCTTTCTGTTGACACGTTCTTCTTCATGAGGTAAGCTTTTCTCACTATGTTTACATTTTGAACGTAATGTTTAAAATCTTTCGGACACAACGTGTATGGCTCTTTTCATAGCCATACACGTTGTATGGCTGTGAATCGGCACACCGATTTATTTTAATTCGTGTCTTGTAAAGATGACTGCTCGCCCCTTTGGAAGCACGACTCGAGGCTTTTCCTGCACTTGCTAATACGTCACTCGCTCGCCGTGGCTATTTCTTCCAAATTCTACTGCCACTCTAATTTAACTATCAAGGCGAAAAAAATATCAATCACTTTCTTATAAATCCTCGAAAGGAAGGTGCCATCAGCAACTTGAAACTTTTCGGCATGACGAAAATGCATGAAAAACGCAATTTTTAAACTAAGCTAGAGAAAGCCTAATATTACTTCCAAAGATGAAAATACAACGTTTTTCTTTCCACATGTACAGTGGCCCACGTTTTTAATATTATCGAGCGAGCGTTGACCGCCATGCCGGAGAGCGCCGCGCTACGGAGGGGTGAGGCGATACGAGATATTATACTCCGTGTCACTAGTTGCGTGCAGTACAGGCGAGGAAACGTCAGGCGAGGGGAGGAAGGGCAAGCACTAGGAAGGATGGAGAGGAGGAGAAAAACATATTTTCGTCCCTAACGTTCCTAGTGCTCTCCTTTTCTCCCCTCGCCCTCCACTGCCCTCCTCTCCTGTCCCGCCTTTCGTGAGCTCGCCTTTTCTCTCTTCGCCTGGCGTTGCCTTCGCCTGTACTGCACACAGCTAGCGTCACGTAGTACAGGTGCGGGCACAAAAGGCTCTTTACCGGTGCTAGCGTCGTCTGTTAGGCTATTCCGTTGGCCGCACACAACACCTGCTCCTTATCTACTGGAACGGCCAACCGCCTTTGAGCAAAGATCAGAGCAGAGCTTGCTTGCGTGATACTGTTCAGCCGTAGCATGAACCGAGCGTCATTGCGCCATTGTTTTTGCCGCGCAAGACGAGTATCACGCCAGCGATCGCTCTTCAGACATTTGCTATACCAACTGATAGGAGAAGCAGAGAAAAAGAGGAAGGGAAGTGGGCGTTGAATAAACAATGATGTCAATCAGCGCCCTGGGCACCTTTGCTAGGGAGCAGGGATGTGTGCGGTCAACGAAATAGCCTAGTAGACGATGCTTGCACCGAGAAGAGCTTTGTGCGCACGAACCTAATCTCTCCCGTATCGCCGCACCCCTCCGCGGCACGGCGCTGGCCGGCCCGGCGGTCGACGCTCGCTCTATAATATTAAAAACTTGGGCCACTGTACATGTGTGACGAAAAACGTTATATATTCATTTGGGGACTCTAAATGAACAGGCAAAAGACAGAAAATACCTATTCCGTGTTTGAAAGGCGAAATTGGTTGTACCATCAAAAATAGAGCAAAAATAAAGATGATCTAATTACAATGTACGTTTATTTTATGGTGATCATTTTAGAAGTATAAATCTATAACGCTTTGATTGGGTTAAACAGGTATTCGAGATGAATCAGTCTTGCGCTGTCCAATCGAGACAGAATTGAATCTCATTAACAACCGAAGAATTAATGTGGGCGTTAGGTGAAAGCGCACCCTTCGAAATAATTAGAATTTAGGATCAGCGAACTGCAAAGCAAAATTCCACTGAAAATATGGTTTTCTGTGGTTGCTGTATGCTGCCGTCTATCATCTTACTAAAACCCTAAATAAGGGTTGCTTTATCTACTAAAACTGTCTGACAGTTAGACCAAGCTGCGGGACATGCCTCATATGCATACATTTTGATGACTGCTGCTTGATAACCTTCATCAACCAGCAGTCTTCGACCAAAAGACCAACTTTTTTTTTCTTGCTCACCAGATTCAAAGAACAAATACTAATAAACAGGTATGAATTCCCGAACTTTAAGCTGAACATGTTTTGTCGTTTAAGAATTATAAAAATATCAGTAGCCTTCCACCTCTCTCGCGTTCTTCAAATGCAGTGTTTGGGTCAGTCACTACCTATTCTCGATTAACTCAAGGCGTCGTTTCTTTCCGAGTTGCTTCGGTCAAACTCCCCACATTCACAATCCGCCTAAGGGGAAGCAGCATTGCAGTGTTCAAGAATATATAGGGTGCAACTCCGAGGGTCAAAGTCATTTCGGCATTCCTTCCTTCCACCTTATTGCGCGCCTCCCAAGTCGACGATTCTCGGGGTCTGCCACCAATATCCTATTAACTGGCAGCAGGACTGACGCTGCGTCCTCTGTTGCAAAAAAAAAAAAACTGTTGCCATCGCACTTTTTAGTTTGCTACCTAAAGAGACCGGGCAGTGTCAAGTCACATGGCGGAAAGCATATACCTCCAGTCAGCATTTAGCCTTTACAGCACTCTCAGGGGTGATCAGAGGCAAGTTCTAATCGGCGGCGTTGCTATGTTTCCGGAGCACGTGTTCATTGGAGCTAACTTCAGCCAACAAGCGACGGACTTATCCGGGTGCTAGCGGTTTCAAGTGACAATTAAAAAAGAATAAAAAAAGTTTTTCTGAGGGACAAGGCGGAGGGTGAGGGCAGCGTACATATGCACATCGGATCAACACCAGCCTTACCTGACAGTTTAATGGGACTTTTTTTTTTTAGTGCGCTCGAAGCACCGCTAGTTCTCCATGATGAGCTCGGGTCCTGTTGCCTCCATTTATATGTTCGGAACCACCCGCACTGGCCGAGTTTACAAATGAGTGAGGAATCGGTGATGGGGGGTAATTGAATTTCTCATGAATGTCTTTTTTTTCTCGCTGGCACTCTCTTCTTTAGCGAACTGTCGTATTGATATCGCCATACTAAACCGTTAAGCCAGTTGTTTCGCCCCCTTCCACTCTATTTCTCTTTTTTAATGGGACGGAAGAAAGCTAACGTGTTAATGTCGGTAATTTGTTATTAAAAAGTAATGAAATTACCTTGACAATTGCATTTTCAGAAAGGAATAGACTAATCAATGACATACAAAGGAAGTAATACGAGATGACAATTATTTCGACTGCTAGTAGCGAATTACTTCCATGTCGGGTGTACAACTTCAAACCTCTTTTAAAAGTTATCTCTCTTCTTCAAATCATTATATCGGCTTTACTGTTTTCTCCTTCTTTCCGACATCGCAATGTAGGTCGTCCAAACAGATCGCTTTAGCGATGGGATGGACTCATGTTTTATTTGTCATTTAAAGACGTGTGGCGTTTGCTTTCAAGAAAATATAGGAATGAGTTCCAACAGCAATAGCAACGAAAACAAAATATTACTTGAAATGCTAATGTCGTGTTTTTTTTTTTCTCTTTCAGTGGATTTCTTTTAAATTATACTATACTCAAACAGAAGAAAAATCCTGCGCTTATTTGTGCGGTAGCCATTGCACGGCGCTTTATCAGGTAACGTGTTTTTATGCACACTGCATGGCTCAGCTATCACATACACAATGTTTGCGCTTTTTCGCGTTTTGTTCGGGCGGCGTATCTATGAGCGTGAGGAGTAACCCCTTAGCTTAATGCCCCGAATGAGCATCTTCCTTTAGAGTTGTAATATTAATGTTCGCCATATAGGTACTAAAAGAAAGAAAGAATGGCGATCGCTTGCTTCTGCTAACTGTGCCGCGGTCACTGCATCCAACTTGATATATATGCTTATAAATTTTAGACGCTTAGCATACTGATAATTATCGGAGTCTAAATACGTGCGTCAATACCTCAGAAACCAACGCAAAATAAATATTTTTTTTAAAGAACAATGTTTTTTTATGCGACGTTAAATAGCTCAACCTGTAAAGATCACAACTGTCGCAGTATTTCTTTTTTGTTGTACACTTCTTAAAGAGATACCGAACCGAAATTTGGATTTGGCGAAATAAGGCCGTACAAGCGTTGAACTGGACGCTACGAACTCCAAAACATTACACGTACGTCGATATCTTAAACTAATCGCCGTACTTTTGGAAAAGAAGGTTGCGATCAAGCGAGGGCTATGGCGTCATTGTAATCCTGGAACATTTGAGAACGAGGAGAAGCGGCCTCGCATTTCTCCTCCTCGCTTCGGTTCACCAGCTTGACGGGACGCAGCGAGGAGGAGAGGGAATGAGAATCGTGAAGTGACTTGTCTCGTCAGCCTCGTCGGCCGTGTTCAATCGCGCACTTGTTTTCTAAAAATACGGCGATCCGTTAGAAATATCTCTGCATGAGTGTTGTTTTGGGGTTTCGCAGAGTCCCTCCTGTCCGTCCAGCCTTGTTTTGTGAGCTTGGAATTTCTGTTCAGTATCTCTTGAAGGGTGGCTTTTCTTACAAATTTCAAATCGTATGATTATCAATCTCTGAAACGTCGAAGCCTACCAGAGTCCTCATGGCACAAAGCCATAGATAATATATGTATTTGGAAATAGCATTTCTGCCTTGCGAGTGTTATGCACCCGCTCTTTTTCATATAAAAAACGCGACAGAGCACGAAGACATAATCTTTATTTGTTTGTCTCTTTTTTTACTTCTATGGGTTCGGCATTACTGGCAGTGAGACAAAGAGCGAGCTGTAAGCTCGTTTCAACGAGGCAAGTTGTTAGCACACAATGAAGAGTTTTATCAGAGCGTTTTCACTTTCCGCTCCGCTCCGAGCATGCCCAACTGACTGGACATGCGCAGCCAGCCACGTTCAAACTAAAAAGCGGCCGCGCATGCACAGTGACGATTGTGCCTCTCCATAAACCTGAGCTTGTGCACAAAAGCGGCTTTCTACAACTCACTAATATGTACGCTCACGCAAGCGTGAGAACGGTCATTTTTCTGCTATGAAGTGTCATTTGCCAACAAAAATAAGAAAAAAAAACAAAAAAAACTTCGTGCCTACTATTAAGAGAACAGGAAAAAAAAACTTCCATCTCGAACGAATTGAGTCCCGCGGAAGAAATTATCGATCGCGAGTTTAAATAGTTAACGTCTCCTATATAACAAAAAATTCAGTCGACAAGCCTTGCTTTCTTTTAGATGTCGATTTGTTCTACTGATGGCGAGAAGTTATTTAAAAAAATATCTCCCGGCTCTGGATTCGAGTGCAGATCAAACTTCTCTCGTCTGTTTAACACGGTCTTCCAGCAAATATCAATTAGATCAGGTCTATTAAGCAACCGAATGAGCTCTCGCCGCACTCGAACTTTGTGCTCCACCAGGGTTATGATGTAGACTACTATTTGGTGAAAGTATGATTATGTGAAGCTCCAACCTTTCTAGTAAAATGTAGCATTTAACAATAGCCCACATGAACAAAATGGAAGCAACTTTCTGCGCCGTATATGTGCTAACTGTGGTATGCCAAGTACGTATAAAAACAACCGAAAATGCTAAAAAAGGTGAAATGAACAAAAAGTAAGGGCGCAAACGAGCTGGTGTACATTGCACATGGTTGAAAAAAAACCCGAGACTGCGGGTAAACGACACAACACTAAAAAGTCTCCAAGAGACTTTTTAGTGTTGTGTCGTTTACCCGCAGTCTCGGGGCTTTTTCAACCATGCTAAAAAGGGTAACGTGGTGGGTTTGTGTAGGACAAACAATATCGCATTGAACCTTTCTTGGACTATGTTAGGCACACATAAATAATTTCTTAAACTGCACATATTTTGTTTCTCGATGTAATAGAGGAAACAAAAAACAATATAGGTCTGTGTTAGACAGTTTATAATATTGTAGTGAAGAGTGTATGGCCGAATGTGTGTGGGAAAAGGGTTAATCGAAACCAGGGCCTTTGTAAAATCCCACCTATATGGTCTACTGGCTGGAGTAGTCTCACCAATACCCTGCGATTGGAGACCGAGGTAGTGAAATGTAACAAAACATAAAAACGTAAAGGTGCTACAATAAACTTTTATAAAAAATCTTCTTTTCTTTTCTTTTTCTTTTTTTTTTTGTTGGTGGGGAAGTTTCTTTATGTTCCATAATGAAAGACAGCGCGACTGGGAGCATGAAAAAAAAGAAAAGAGATATACACAAGACAAGCGCTGACTACCAAATTAAATGTCATTAGCAGAGAAACACGAAAATAACACTGGTGCTCGCGCAGCCGCTGGCCACAAAGTGATCTTCAAACACTTATTTCTTCAGATTTTTTTTAATTTAAATTTTACAAAAATTGACATCATTGCTTGTAGGGATATGTAATGGCTGGCCCACGCACGTGGATTTGTTTTCTTGTTACATGATGCGTTTCAATTGTAAAAAAGATGTGTTTTAATATAAATCCGAAACCTAAAGGTACGTCCAAATTGAGGCATCGTCGTATCACCGTACAATGCTTCCCCTGTCCTATATCTTTCTAATATATGTTAATTTAACGGTTTTCTATGATACTTCCAAGTTTGTCAATCGAAGCATATGTTTGTTTTCACTAATTACTTAATATTATGAATAAATATTAGTCGATCATTATCTCATTTGTACATGTTTTGCAATCCTTCCCGAAAAGAGTTTCTTCTGTTTTCTACCATCATATTTTTTAGGGACTTGTTTTTAAAGCCTTGGATTTTCTTTCGTTAATGCCTTCCTTTTCATTACACCAGGTGTTCCACCTAGTGTGATGAAAAGGAAGGCATTATCGAAAGAAAATGAATTTTAAAGGGCTAATCTTACTAGTGGAGATTTATCTTTGCATTATTTACATTTATTTATTTACATTGTACCTACATCGCCCTGTGGGCATTGTTGTAGGGGGGTTTTAGAAAACATTATAACAAGTGGAAAAAGAAAACGTCATTATCATCAATGGACACAATATCTTCCGGGAGGTCGTTCCACTCTCTCGCGGTTTTGACAAAAAATGAATTCGCAAAACTGCCAGTCCTGTAAGTGGGAACAGGAACCTTTTTAGAATGATCAGAACGGGAAGAAACGTAGGATGGCTCCATAAGATAAGTGGCTTTATTAATTCCTGTTTTGTTGTGAAAGACACGGTGGAAAAAGTTTAGTCTTAGTTTTTTTCGTCTACATTCGAGTGTTTCCCATCCCAGCATGGCTTTCATATCTGTAACACTAGCATAAAAGTCATAGTTGTTCAGTACAAAACGCGCGGCCTGATTTTGAGTTTCTTCTAGTTTATTGATAAGGAAGTCGTGATAAGGGTCCCACACAACGCACGCGTAATCAAGGATTGTTCTTACCAAAGAAAAATAAAGTGTTTCTTTAACGTTTCGCGACGCGGATCTAAAATTTCGACGGATAAAATAAAACATTTTACTAGCCTTTTCGATTGTACGTTCTATATGGCTGTTCAATTTTATGGAATCCGAAAATAGCACTCCTAGGTAAACATACTTAAACACAGTACATAAAACGGTCCCGTTGATTAGGTAGCTATGAGAATCGTGCAGCTTACTTCTCGAGAAACGAATATGTTTGCATTTACTTAAATTTAGGCTCATTTTCCATTGATTGCACCAAGAAGATAAAATATTTATGTCGGTTTGTAATATGGCCAGGTCGTCTGACGTGTTTATTTCCATGTACAATACGCAGTCATCGGCGAACAGTTTAATATGAAACTGTATGTTTTCGGTGATATCATTTATGTATATCAGAAAAAGTAAAGGCCCTAAAACACTCCCTTGTGGCACGCCCAACGTAACCCGAGTTTATGTGGATATAGTACCGTTTAAAACAACCCGCTGCTCTCGACCTTCTAAATAATTTTGTATCCAGTTCAGGACGTTGAGATCTATGTTTAGCAAAGCCAATTTATACAATAATAATTGATGGGGGACCATGTCAAATCCCTTTCGAAAGTCTAAGAACACGCAGTCGACATATTTCCTGCTGTCTAGTGATCTGGATATATGATGATAAAATTCTACCAGCTGGGTGTTGCAAGAGTAGCCGCTTCGAAAACCATGTTGTGAGGGGAAAAGAAGTGTAATGAATCCAGGAACCAGTAAAGGTTACTGTAAGTAATGTGTTCAAACAACTTACATGAGATCGATGTATATGAAATAGGGCGATAATTTTCAACACTGGCTTTAGAACCCGATTTAAAAACTGGTGCAACGTTTGCCATCTTCCAATCCATAGGAACCATCCCCGTCTTTAACGTTTCACTGAATATAACAAAAAGATAACGCGCTATAGATTCACTGCACCTAAGAAAAATAACAGGGGAAATGCCATCAGGTCCGACTGCCTTGGTTGCATCAATTCCGCGCAGCAACTTCACTACACCATTCATGTCAATTGTAATGCTGGGCATTACGCTTTGCTGCGTTTGGTAAGCCACTGGAGATACCAGATGCGGAGAGTCTTCCGAAAATACCGACTTAAAATACGAGTTAAAGCATTCAACCTTCGCGTTATCAGACAACACAGTACTACCATCAACTTTCAACGCAGGAATAGAAGTATCTTCCTTTCT